GTGTGTGTGTGTGTGTGTGTGTGAGCTTTCGTAATTAACTGCGTTTCCAACAGAGATATGCCGTTGTGAACTCATTCTTGCGTATCTCTGTTGGAATTGGCATTGGCAGGTGATACTCTTGTTGACCCATGCTGCGGGTCGGGCACAATTGTTTTTGAAGCCCAGAGGTGAGAACCATCTCGTCTCCGTCTTATGTTTCCTCACCGAACAGGCACTGCACAGCCGTGCTCTCAATCTTGTGTACCCTAGTTATGGAGCGACCCCCTTCCATCAACCCCTTCCGTCAATAACTTATGGAACTGTAGCAGTGAGTGGGGGCGCACTATGCATTGCATCAATTTGTATGCAACAGTCTGGCATTTCTCGATGTATGTGTGTCATCCTTGCGCAGGGGCTGTGCTAATCTTCATTCTCTGTATCGTTCCAATTTTAACAGATGTCCCGAAGGACTTTTTTTTTTTTTTTATATTTATAATTGAGACCATTTCTCGATATATGCGTGTCATCCTTGCGCAGGGGCGATGGTAATCTTCTTTCTCTGTATCGTTCCAATTTTAACGGACGGGTCTCCGAGATGCAAAATTGTGAAGTACTTTTGAAAGAAAATTCAGATTCAGTTTTTAGAACTCCCCGAGTTGCTCGGATCTTCAGAACCGTATGAGTTATGCAATTGAGATCATGATGAATTTGGTTTTCCAACTTTTCCTTCCTAAACGTCTTTCAGAAGAATCGGAACTCTATTATTTTTTTTTCTTAGCAAAATTCTTTTGAGTATTTTGAACTGTTTTCCTTTTTTCAAGTTGTTTTCTTTTTTTCCTCACAGCTGACATCTGAAAAATGTTGACGTCAGTCAAAGTTCGATGCGACCTCTAAAGGTCCGGTCCCCTCTATCCGCTCTGATGTGTTCTTTGACATCACTTCTTGCGCCTGCATGCGCGATTGGGGTCGTCGTTCTACTTGCAGGCGTGGCATACATTCCGTGGGCCTGGATATCCAGCAAGGCATCCTGCTGCATGCTTCTGAAAACCTGCAGCACGTGGGTGTACAGCATTCCGTTGGATGGGGACCGTCCTCCACGATCAACGGCCCTCATAATTCTCGTAAAGCACAGTGGGAGTCAGCGACAGATCAAACTGCGAATTGTGAGGGCAACAAGGGGGGCAAGAGTGGGGAGCGCAACTCCGCACCAACGACAAAGGCATTTTGTGCTGAACAGGTTCCCGCAAGTCTAGCTTCATCATTCTGTCGCGATTCGCCAAGGACGATGCGTGACAATTCTCTGCCCCAGGACCGGGAGAGGCAGGTGGTCATGCCCGGCAACGCCGGCATCATGCGAAACGGTGCAGCCACAGCTCCGGCAGAGCAATCACGTCTTGACCTGGACTATGTGATCGCCGCCGAATCGACCGCTGTGCCGCCATATGCATCATTAGATTCATGCGAGTTTGCTATGACGGCAGAGAGAGTTCTCTCACAGAGGAATGGGGAGGAGGTTCTCTCACAGAGGAATGTGGAGGAGGGGCTCTCGAAGAGGAATGAGGAGGCGGTGCTCTCACAGAGGAATGAGGAGGCGGTTCTCTCCCCGAATGATGGGGAGGAGGAAAACATGCCAAGTGTCTCTCCGGCAAGACATGAAACACCTTGCACGCGTGAGTTCGAAGAACCGCCGCTCAGCAGAGTCAGGCAGACATCGGACTGCCAGCCATTGATGAATTCCTCCCTTAGGATTAACTGCTGGGAAGATCCCAGTCCGGGTCGACCATCCCCTCAAGGAATCAATCTGTCCACAGAAGGCAGCCAGTTACGGACACCGGTTGTTGCGCAGAACGGGAGATCGGAATGTGTTGCATTCCTTGAGCAGGATGAGATTTGCGAACAGAGGAGCTTGCTAGATGAACATGCACTTCCTGCCTTGTTGCCCCACACACGTTCTTCACAACACGATCATAGATTGATATCTTTGAGTGTGGGGAAAGCGCAGACCTCCGAGGAGGGAGGGCAAGCTCACACACATGGTGGTAGAAATGCCGGTCGCACAGATTCGGTGCCTCCTAGGGCAGGTAATAATGAAGGGACGGGGGGTGAGCCTTCAGGTCTGGAATCAAACCCATCTATCTCTACCCCTAGCTGCTTTCTCCCTCATTGGAGCCTACCTGAGCACCTTCGGCGAAGAGCAGGGCATAGCTCTGTGAATGTCAGTTTGGGTATCGCTGATGCGAGGGTTGTCCGGTTCGAACCCACAGAATGCGTCGTCAGCAACCTGCCATTTGGCAGGTTCTTGAAGATGGAGTCGGCTGATGTGGCTGCGATTCTACGGAACCTTCAAAGGCAAGCGAAGAGGTTTGTGTTCTTCGGAGGCGCACCGCTACGGCCGCTCCTCGAGGATGCAGGATATATCACCCTGCACGAAGTCTCCGTTTGCCCGCGGGGTAAGCGATACATGGCTCTTGCAATCACCGGTGAGTCGACGACCATGCATTGAAGATGGAGTCTGCTTGCTGATGTGGCTGCGAATCTACGGAATCTTCAAAGGCAAGCGAAGAGGCTTGTGTTCTTCGGAGGCGCACTGTTGTATCGCCCCATAGGAAGTCTCCGTTTTCTTTTCCCGCGAGGTAAGCGATACATGGCTCTCGCAATTCGCAGCGAGTCGACGACCAGGCATCGAAGATGATATCATGGAGTCTGCTGATGTACCTGCTATGCTCAAGAATCTTCAAAGGCAAGCAAAGAGGTTTGTGTTCTTCAGAAGCGCACCGTTACATGATGTATCGCCCTTACGGAAGTCTCCGTTCGCCCGCGGGGCGGGGTACAGAGCTCTTGCAATTACCCGCGAGTTTTACCAGTGAGTTGACGACCATGCGTTGAAGTTTGAGTCTGCTTGCTGATGTGGCTGCTATGCTATTCTCAGGAAACTTCAAAGGCAAGCGAAGAGGTTTGTGTTCTTCCGAGGCACAGCATTTACAGCGGCTGCTCCGTGAGGATGCAGGATATCGTATGTCACTCTGCAGCAGGACGTCTCTGTTTGCCCACAAGGTAAGCGATACATGGCTCTTTTGCAATTTAGCGGTGAGTCAATCCGGGCTCCGTCTATGGGACCAGATCCTGGCACGGATCTGTTCCCAGGAGTGAGAGTTCACGTTAAGCTACCGTCTTTCCCCGAACATAACACACGCTGAAAATGAACGTATACAAGCTGTCTTTCCGGTCCGATGCAGTCAAAATGAGGGTGCGTTGTGTTCGGGGGAAGACGATAGCAGGACAATGGCCCACTCTAATGATGAAGGCGAGGGCAACATCAACTGGCCTATTATTGCTTTTTCCCCCCTCCTCCTATTGGGCCCCGCCGCACGGCACACGAAACGAAATCGAAACGAGTGCATCTGCCCACGAAAGGTGGCAAAATACACTCGTTACTATTTATAGCAAACCGATGAACGTGGCCATTTTCTGCAGGAAGATGCACTCGCTCGTTACTATTTATAGCAAACCGATGAACGCGGGTTCGCTCGCGGCCCCGAGGTTGCCAATGTGGAAGCAAAAGGGGAATGCAGCACAGAAGTCTCAAGCACATGAGGACACATTTTCTCAGAAATAGTGTCTCCCCTCATCACCCTCTTCCTCCTCCTCCTGCTGGTCGCCCGCCACTCTCCTCCCGCTGGCCCCGCGCCACAGGAAACAAATCCACCTCGGCCGTGTCCCAGCCCCAACTTGCCTCCGTCCCGCCTCCGCGACCGGTTTCTTCTGGGTCCACGTGAGCCCCCCCCCCCCCCCCCCCTCCCCTTCTTTGTTGCGGCACATACCTGCTCCTCCCCGCGCTCCCCTTGTCCCTCCGTGACCTCCTCCTTCCTGTTTTTTCTCTCACGTCATGTCGATGCGGCTCCCCCATACCCCTCCACTACTCAGATGATTGAGAAGATAAATTTATAAAGGTATTCTCTTTGTAACAGAGAGAAAATAAATCTTTACACGACAGATAGATAAAAGGCATATAACTAGCTTCTCCCACCTCTCCTCCCCTGTCGTGCCCTCCTCCTGCTCACACCCCCCCCCTCCCCTCCCTCCAAGCCCCTCTTCTCCTTTGTTTATGTGGAGAGCAGTGGAGTGATAGTAGGATTAGAGAAAATGGCCACAGCCTTGAGATATCTTTTTTTTTTTTTTTCATTGATTATTGAACTGACCGGCCCCAGGTAATTCAGAATGATTTTATTATTAAAAAAAAATAATGATTTTATTTACTCTGGTCATCTGAGTGGATCTGGATGCAATGTTTTTGTCTTTTGTACATGTGGTAAGCAGTGGAGGCGGGCGCTATGCAATCCTCCGCTGGAAGCTATGTAGGTAAACGACAAAACGCCCGGTCCAAATCCCACAGGTGCACTGAATGGAATAACTAAACCGGTCCAAATCCCAATGTGGAAAATGAATCTCCGCTTGGATCACGGACAGGTGCACTGAATGGAATAACTAAACCGGTCCAAATCTCCAAATCTTCAAAATATTCACACGCTCTGCAGCCCAATATCAGACGCTCATACGCAGACACGGAAATAGTTTCCTCAAAAAAAAAAAAAAAAAAAAAAAAAAAATTTATTTTTTTTTTTTTTTTTTTTTTTTTTTTTCTCTTTACTCTCTCTTCCATGTTTACTGCTAAATCAAACCTCACAAAATGACAATCCCCACCATCGATTACACAAACCAACCCTCGACTGAACAAAATTATACTCGTTATCAGTAAAACCACGGGCGTGCACATAAGAAACGAACAGAAAAAGTGAACACAACATCAGTGCAGGAACACTTACTCAGGCCATACTCACACTATGACTTTTTACCGTATGGCCACTTGGACGGAACTGTGGCCAGATACATCCAGGTATGGCGTGAATGCGGTCAGATACATTTGAGATACGGAGATACGGCTAGTGGGAGTACGCCCTCATTATCACATTCTGTGTCATGAATGACACAAAATTACAACATGTCTGCGAACCTGCGCCTCTCTCTTTGTTCTTTTTTTTTATGTTTTTGATTAAAAAAAAAACATATGAACTTCAAAAAAGAACAGTAAAAAATATGGGGTTGCAGATCTCCAAAAGATCTACAACCCTATATTTTTTTATTTCGCTTTTTGTTTATTGTTTGCCTGCGAAAAAAGCTCTGTGAAAAAAGAAAAGAAAACCCCACCCATTTCATTTTTTTTTTTAATGTTTTTTATTTTCTTTTTTCAATATAGAAAAACAAAAAATATAATAAAAATCTGTGTAGCATCGTGTTCGGACGTTCGGGACCGACCGCGAACAAGCGCCGAAACTCTCCGAATGCGAACATAAAAAAAGAAAAAAGAAAAAAAAGAGAGTTCTCGAAAAAATCTGAAAAAAAAATATGTTATGTAAAATAATAAAACGAAGAACTTTTGCCTTTAAGGTATGCTCAAGTTCGTAACCACACTCGAGTTCAAAATCAAAAACCTTTTTTTTTTTTTTTTTTTTTTTTTTTTGAAAATTTTTCGCCCAAACATCTGCCCCAAAAACCCTTTTAGGTGGGGTTTGTAGGGGGGGGGGAAATGTTTTTTTTAAGGTAAAAAAAAAAAAAAAAAAAATGTTTCTCCAAAAAA